CGACCACTTGCCAAATGCTGAAGATTTAAGTGATGCATTTCTATGCATTTCTCCGTGATTTTGTGAACTGCTGGAAACCTGAGACCACCGGCTGGGCTGGGTTGCGCTGCTGATGTACAACCCTCGGTCCAGCATGTGAACTGCAACTCTTGGATCTGCTCAAATCATCATTCTCAGCATCACTGTTGTCATCGTCGTCGTCATTGTCGTCTTCTTGATCAATTTGGCACTAACTTTGGTTCGAATTGCTAATGGTTGTTCATGACATTGCTCTGAATCTCCTTACGCCACAAATAAATATCTATAATATCTATAATATATATATATATGTCACATTCTTCAATATCTCTGTCCGCTCAGGCTTCATGCGTAGTTTCTTGTTGATTCTGCACTTCCGCTTCCTCTCGTCAATTAGCTAGCTCTCACTGGTGTGCAATGACGCGATGACGGCATGACCACCATGACCGCCGCCATGTGGTCTATTGAGGCAAAGGCCTTAAACCAACACCCCCAAACAGCCTGATGTGGCCACAGAAAGGCAGTGAGTCACCGAAGGGTGTCTGGCATGAGAAACCTCTCTGCACATGAAACCAATCACTTGCTTTCTTTTGTGATGTTCGAAATGGACATTTGGATTGAGAGTCACTTATTCAGAGGGTTGTTGGTCTGCATCTCAATATATCCATACACATATATATATATAATTCTCAATATATCTCAAAAATCCTCAAAATATATCTCAAAACATCTCAATATATCTAAATCCCTCCTTTGCAATGACAAACTTTCGAAAAATACTTAGACGGCATCAACTTGCAGCTGTCATTCCCTGGCTACCGCAGAAAACTCTGCCCCAGCTTTCAGTTTTCCCGGCCTCCCCGTCAACCCCATGGGACTTCAGGCGATTGAATTCGCCCCTCAGCATGCCACAACACCGAAGAGAAAGATTCCTCCCCCTTGTTCCTCCGAAGTTATACTCAAGTCAAGATCTACCTGCAATAAACTGCATATAGATATATCTAGATCTACATAAGTGTATCTACATATATGCTACATATGTATATGATCTGTATATGTATAAAACAAAATAAAGAAATATATATATATGATATTATATATAATATCATTTATATATAATTATATATACATCTTGTCCTCTTGTTGAAGTCATGTATTCGCGCACTTTGCCAAGAAGAGTCAAGGCGTATGGCCTGCAAGATCAATCCTTCCCGGTCTTCTCCAATCTAAAATGATTCCAAGGAACATCAAGTAACCTTGGTGCGTACTTGCAGACCACATTTTGTGCGACTGTGCATCAATATCGCTGCGAAATATACCGTTCACATCACACAGTTTTTAGTGGTTCTGTGACTCGTGGAAAAACACTGGTCTACTTGAGGATTCCAGCCCTTGTCAATACCTCGCTAAGCAAGAAAGACTTCAGCTAGCAGAAACTAATAGAAACTAGCTTTCGTGAGAAGATTATCCAAACATCCCAACACAATGCTGAGTTTTCTATGACAGCCAGGCAATCAGCCACCAGAGTCTTAGAGGTCCATGGACCATCGCAGTTTCGGTGACCAAGAAACCCATTGCAGGCTTTGAACGGCGCACTGATGAAGTGTTTCCCATGGCATTGCACACAACTCATTGGATCGAAAAGGCTAAACACTGTAACATGTTCAAGTCCACGGTCGGATTTAGGTGGTTCTTTTACGTTTGCCTCAAAAATTGTGCGTAGTTTAAGGCATGCATTGCGAAGGAAAAACGCATGCTAGCGTTCTATTTGCACTCATATTTGCTATTTCTTTTGAAGAAGGTTGTTTTCCTGGACGGTTGGCTAGGCAGATTTGAAACCCAGAAAAAACGCTGAAACCCAGAAAAAACGCTGAAACATATTGAATATGTTCAGGTCGTGAACTGCTCCCATTGATGGTTCTGTTTTTGAAGGTTTGCAGTTCATGTTCCCTGCTGGTACCAATTTGCCAATGTCTGCTTGGATCACCCAAGTCTTGAAATGACGTGTAAAGCTTATGTCCAAGAACCCAGATTACCATGACGATGACAACTGGAAGTTACCCCCAAGATACACCGACAATAGATTACTGTCTATTGCCGCTTAAACACTTTTTGCGTGGGCGGGGCTAGCTATGTGGGGTCCCCTCGCGAGATAAGCACATGTGAGATCCAGACAGCCATGAAAGTGCAGTGTTTTTTTCCTGCGACAAGAGTCAGCGGTCAGCATGTGGTACCGCGTACTTGTTCACAAGCCTCATATCATAGCATTCCGAATTACAATCTGCCACAAACATGTACAAACTCCGGATCTCGGCATCTTGCTCTGCATCACTTGAAAGCTTGGGGTAGCCCAAATCATCTGGCCTCATGGGGTGTTTGACATGTAGGCGCCGCTCAGGTCGGCAATATGGCAAGGGCTCCACTATTTGTGCCAGAGGGACCGCAGATTGGGGCATGATTGGGGACGCATACTCATCAGGGAAGCCAAATTCTAATCCAGGTAGGGAGCAAGCAAAGCTGTTCCATGGGTATTTCCAAAACGGTCATCATGAAGACCCGAGTTAATCTTACTACACAACAAAATCACATCAAAATGAATCAAGTGATGAATGAATCGACAACCCCGCGAACCCTCCTACATCCAGGTTGCTTGTATGAATCACCCCGCCGTTGGCACAGTAATGCACAGTACATGTGATTCAACCCTTCCACCATCCGCTTTTGACCCCCCCCCACGTGCCTTGAAGTCTTTATCTCATTTGCCGGATGACAGAGCGCCAAATCTCAGGACATGGGAACAGCCGCCAGTAGACCACAAGTAGCAACATGAGCCCAACAGTGGAGCCAAAAAGACACAACAGTGAATTCTTCGCAAATAGCACCACCACCATCCCACATTCAACGAGCGACAGGCAGCTATGACACTGGCCAACAAAAAGGAAAAAGGGTCATTTAAGTATATTTAAGTGAGATATGGCTATGAGTCAAAACCCTGGCATCCTAGGTACCCTAAAATAGCATAAAAAGCTGGCTAATGGTTATTCCCCAGCCATGTGGTAAGAATCAGCTTTGACCCATCCCCATATTAATGATTGGCAATATTGATGTCAAACAGCACGTCATGGAGCACCCCACCGGAGCTTACCCCTTTTCGCCAAGATGCCTACAGCATCTGCATCGGTCTCTCTACTCGTTTGCGATTCATTGCCATTCTACAACTGAACATCTACATTTGGTGGCACTTTCACTACACCACTTTTCACTACAACTGAACATCTACATTTGATAGCCAAAAGCTTCATAGTCCACCTTAAAGAAGTCATAAACTGCCTTGCGGCTCGCAGGTGTCAGGTCATTTGTGGTCACATTTGGACAGGCACCCCAGGACGACATCAACTCTTCAGTGGGCAACTTGACATCTGGTCGTCCAATCTCCGCCATAAGTTCATCAAACTCAGCGGTGAGGTTCTCTTGGCGCAACCAGCGAGTGCAATATTGCTCTGTCGCTGAAGACCAATTCCGAGTGCCATAAACGAACTCCACCTGAGGTACCCAGAAGCAACCCCAGCAGTAGGGCCTGGTCCTAGCTAATTCCAAAAGCTCCAAGATCGCCGTTTCGATGATGTGGGGATCGCAGGATTTCATATCAGGAGATATCCGCATTCGGAAACCACTCCAGAACCGCTCTAGCGGGTCTCGTAAGGAACAAAATGTTTGACAGGTACTGTAATACTCTTGGATCATTGGACTCCTTGATGGAGGCGTATGGAGATCTTCGCACTGATCGGTGACGTTGGGAGGTAAAAAATGGTAGAATCTAATGTTCTCCCCAAACCAAGCTGTATAGACTATGGGTGACACGTGAGAGTCTTCATACAGGCTTCCCAAGTCAGCATCCGTTAAATTCCTTGCAACTGCAATGCGCTTGTAGGTCTCCCGCATCAATGAGTCAAAGGCTGGAACCTTGTGATGCATATTGGCAGCGTCAATGCTGGTGCCGCCTGTCTTTGGAATGTGCATGAATCGAAGGCACTGACCAGGATCAGATCGATGAGCTGAACTGTGCTGCATCTGCAGGTTTTTAAGGTCAAGTCCCAGCTGAAGAAGTTCCATCTCAAAACCATGGCGAAGCAAAGGAGGCTCCGGCACCTCGACCGGTCGCTCCGCCAGAGTCACACGTACGGTAGCGAAAACGAAGAAACCGAACCACATCGGTCGCATCTGTCGCATCGTGGTCTGGGTCCACTGCCCAGGTCTTGGCGCATTGGTGTCGCCAGAGATCCTTTGGGCCAAGAGGTTTGGTCCATAGCCAAGTTTTTGAAGCGGCGTATGCAACGATTGTTACATACCAAAATTCTTAACACAATTATTGCCAATGGCCAATAATGATCTGCTTGCAGAAGACAATGTTTGCTCTACTGACATAAACATTGAGGAAAAGGATGAACAAGGAGGAAACTATAGAAACAACATGAGAAAAACAAACAGGGAAAAGAGCAAAAGAGCGAAAAAAAATCGAGAGAGAAGATCAACTTAAAACATCGAGAAAAAGAAAAACGAGAGAAAGGGAAAATAACGGAAGGATAGAAAAGAAGGAAGACAGCCAAGGGAGGCAGAAGAGTGATGAAATGTGATGAAGGCAAGGCAGTATGAGAAAGGAGAACGATCAGAAGAGGACAGTTGACAGTTGCAAACCGTTGAAGCGCTGCTGCACTGCTTGTTTGATCCCCTTTCCAAGCCCAGAGAACTGTATCATCGGACTGCTTTAGGTAGACGACAAAATATTCGCAAATCCAAGCGCTCGCGCAACTGACAAGTTCAGCCCTCGATTCAGCGCATCTTTTTCCAGCTACAAAGCTGCACCCTTAAAAACGCGTCGGAAACAAACACGCCCAAAAACAGCAAAACGATGCAAAACGGTTCTGAATGCTAATGACTCTCTGTCAGCATAGGACGCCTCTGGGATTGTTTTGTGATGTATTGTGGCACCAAGATCACTGGCAACAAGTTGGAACCTGGACGTGACACACTGACATATTGGCTACATGGTCCCGCATGGCGCTTGCTACATGCTCTGCCAATGCTCACTGTCGTCGCGTGATCACCTCAGGCTTTGAAACCAAGGGGGAGCGCTTCTTGCGGAAAGCTGTAGCAACAAACACCTTCCCCAAGTGCTGCACTTGAGGTGGTGTTGAGGGTGTCAAGGACAATCCCGATCCCTGCTGAGTACCCCAGTCAACTGCTATCATCGCTGTAAACTCTTAAATGAGGGCCGCACATAACTGCCTTCGTGAAATCAATGCGGCGGGTCTTGAACCTGGCATGGGCTAAAAGGCAGCTGCGGCGTCACCAGAGCAGTATGGAGCAATGGCAGCTACAGCTTCAGTCCCTTTTCGCGTACAGCCTACTGGAACCACGAAAATCAGAAAGATAGAACGTGTCCAAATGATCTTGCACTTCTCCATCAGATCAGTGCTTAATGCTGTCATGAGTCATTGACATCACCGTCGTAGCATCCATTGTCATAGCTCATTGGTACAGTGAGTTCAAAACGAAATGTCGAAGTGGTCAAAGGATGTCAGAGGCAGGTGTTGCCTCACTACTCATTGGTGACAAGCCGGAAGGACCCAATCCACATGCTTCGGTACCAGAAGCCAACAATGAATGTTCCGACGGCGCAAGCCGACAGTGCCTGGGAAGTGTGAAAAGCGTTGTCTGTTTCAGGTCCACTCTGGAGGCCGTATCATGCAACTATCACCCCTCATCTTTCCTAAGTGATAAACAATAAGTGTCAAAGCTGCGCGGAAGCCTTAATTAGGTTCTTAGAACATATCGGATGCAATATGATGCAATATCAATCCTTGATATCCCTTGATAAACTGAAGGTACTTCCAAAATCACTGAAGCCATCGAGGATTTCTCACATCTTTCATCCCCACCTTGAGGCCGATGAGCTTCCGCTCGTCGTGTGCGGGCTCTGCGGCCCAGCAAAGGAAGTTCACCACCTGGCAGCAGAGTTTGGCAAAAAAATGGTATATGATCAATATATGATCAATCATGGCTCAATCTAAAATGGAAAGCCAATCAATGCGACATGTCACTAAACGATACTAAGCGTACAAAGCACAGTACCAACATCTGCTTGTCATGTGCCGGTGGGCGCATGAAACGGACACTTAAGGAGCGCACATCCTTGGCCATTTGAGACTTGGTACACGGAGTTCCATCCTGCCGCGAAAATGGAGCGAAAAAGGATGATCTGAAAAAACATGAAAAAAACCGTGTGCACCGCGGCTCCTCGTAGTCCACCAGACCATCAGAGTGCAGCGGGTTGGGCATTCCGATTAATCCTGGGGAGTCGACAAACATGTTGGGCCAAACAACAACGCCGGCACAGCACGATCCACATAAAGTTGTGTAATAGCCGCGGCTATTCTATGTTCAAAAATAGTTGCAGTCTGTGGCCCTGTTGTCTCACAACATCTCAAAACGTGAAAGAAAACCGTGTCTGGTAGTGTGACATCTTTCAAGACTTGCTTAGGCTTGATAGGCAATCACAGCAACCCAAGGTCCTCCTGGGAAGTACCTTGGAACGAGGCTGCAGACTGGATGAAGTCAATTCACGTCACAGACTTGATTCAATTTCACAATTTGCTTAATTTGGTTACTATACCGTACACCTATATTATCTGGTTGGTGGTATACCTATCCCTCTGAAAAATGTGACTTCGTCAGTTGGGATGATTATTCAATGATGACATTCCCAATAAATGTTCCAAACCACCAACCAGTTATCTATACTACTGGTTCCTACTGGTTTGATACCCTCTGGTAAACTAACAAAACTATGGAAAATCACCATTTTTAATGGGTAATTCCACTATAAATGGTCATTTTCAATAGCTACGTTAAATTACCAGAGGTAAGTGGTTGGTTCCTACTGGTTGGTTCCAACTGGTTCTTCCGTCGCGACGGATCCGCCGAGTTGCACATTGTAGTACAATCCATCGCGCACTTCGATGCCGGCTGGAGGATCCTACAAAGGCTGTGCCACTCACATGCGCATTGGAGCCTGCAAGTTGTCAAACATATGCACAGTTTATATAATATAATATAATATAATATAATATAGTATAATATAATATAATATAGTATAATATAATATAATATAGTATAGTATAATATAATATAATATAATATAATATAAATATAAATATAAATATAAATATAAAATAATATAATATAATATAATATAATATATATATATATGGAGTAAGTAACGACCTTCCAGTGTTTTACTCCTCAGATCCTATTTCAAATCAAATGCCTTGCAAGGTCCTTGTAGAAGCGGTGGTTTGTTCAAACGCTTGTAGGTTTCATGACAAATTGCGAGCTTCTGATTCTGGTTGAATTCCTCATCGAACAGAATCCAAGCTCAGCGCTCTGTAGCCCAGCAGAAGGGCGAAGATGTAGTCAATACCTCAGTTGCATGGAAATAATATCTTCCTTCGCCTACAGATCTGCACAAATCATCAAAGCCAGCATGGCACAGGCCGTAAAAATATGCTAAAAACAGAGGCCATAGCCCTCGTGCTTGGCAGTGGTGTACACACTGAGATCCGGCCTGTCATGAGCTGTGCGTCCAACAACCATGGAGAGATATGCAGCTGCACAAAGTCTCAACTGTATTTAACATAAATTTATATATATATATATTATATATAAATGTCACGTCTTCTAAGGCCACTTAGTACTGCTGGGTTCGCCCATGTCCGTCCCGATTCCATGTCAGCTGCACGGATTTGCTCCGCCATTTGCGTAGCGTGCTGCCTCGTAAAGCTTGACACGATCCTTCTGGTATCTTCGGGACATTTTGACACGCATGACATGACAGGCCTGCAGATTGAATGTGTGTTTTGACTCTTGACGTACTCTGATTTGGCCTTACGCAAAATCTAAAGAAGTTGAGGAAGTGCGACAGATTTTTCCCCTACCAATGTGGTGTTGACAGAGATTCAGGTATTGGCGCTGAGAAGTAAAAGATCCTTGCACACTTCGCATTCTGATTAGAGGAACGTGCCTCTTCGTTCGGATATGGCGATGGAAAGGCATCAACAAGAATGCCAGGGCGGGTGAACATCTCGCCTGATCCATGTACAGCTAGACTGTCCAATGAAAGCAGGAAGAACAACCGAGTCTCATGTGAGACTGTGAGATGTCAAGGATTGACAACAATCGGTTCTTACATGTTCTTACATTTGCACAAAGCTGCGAAGTAGGTTTTGGTGTCTGCTTCCGCAACACTTTGCATTCTGTCCATTTAGCAATGGCCGTGAGACCTTTGGGTACCTCGAGTGACCTACCTGAACTGTCCCTGCATCTTGGCTCTCCTTCATCATTTGGTCCATCCACAACGTCGTAGCTGGCGGCTATCTCCTCTCACGGACGAAATGCACAGCTGCGGCAGTCGCTTGTCCCGTCTTTCATGAGAGTTCATGCCAGCGCTGAGGGAGAACTTATAAGCTTGACACAGAATGTCTGGTCAAATCCGTTTGAAAACACAGAACAGCGAAATGGTGAAACAAATAGGTTTAACTTTGTATGCCAGGTCTTTTCATGCGCCGCGCATTCGTATCATGGAATCAACGATGGTGCTACTCGCGGTTTCCTTCATACGCTTCTCGGGAAGCACGAAATTCGACAGGTGTCTGAAGTGGAGCCTCAGTACAGGGAATGAAAATGACAATAGAATCCGGCGCATGAGCCATATTATCCAGGCCGGCATCTTGAGATGTGCATTATACGTCCTACATACGTGCTATTATTCCCAGTGACAGCACCAAGCCAACATATACAATCTTAAAAGTCAAACAGGCCAGGGAAACCAGCAAAGCAAACGTAAACAAACCTACCTTCTGTTTCTGAGCTTGTGACTGCTTCATGGAATGGCAAGTTGCACAAACCTTCAAGGCCATGTGCATTGTTCTAATGTTGATTGCCAGAGAAGACCCTTCAAGAAAATCTACAAGGTCGGCCCGGCTTCAACATACATCAAATGATATCACATGTATCTCATACTCATACTATACATCTTCTTCCCTGGATGTGAATTTGTTTGCTGCAAACAAGATGAAACTTGGCATCTTGAAATAATGACAGGGGATTCCAAAAGTGTACAGCCACACCTGACGGTACACTTCATACCCACGACCTCAGAAATGCTTGGAAAACTTCGTCTGTGTAAAGCGATCTGGATGTGCAAACGAGTTGCCCCTTCCAGTGCCATTTTTTGCAGAGCAAGATATTGCGGCAATGAAAGGCTGTGCCGCAGTTCCAGCTATCCAATCCATCTAAGCTTGCACAGTGGATTGAATGTCTACATGTCCTGAGCATCCGATCGGACACTTGGAATCTCGTGGGCATGGAAGATGGACTTTACCCAGAAGGGATATCGCCTCATGCTCTCAAAGCAACATGAATACACAGAACAAGACTCTTGGATGAATGCAAGAAAACCGTAAAAAAAACATAAAGACATGGACCCAACTGACATTGGACTGTGGCGAGACTTTCTGAGTGCTGCACGGTGCGTGTGGCGGATCCTTATCATCGCCTCGGAGTACCGACATCCTAAACTCATGAGTTGCACCTCGCCTTCTCCAGAATTGGGACAAAAAGTTCCCAGACCAGCCAAATTTACGGAGCTGTGAAAAGGCAAAAGTCTCACGATTACACAGGACTCGTTTCTTGGCCTTTCCAGCACCCAGCTGAGTTCTCGGGCAGCGAGCTGGAGCAGAGGTGAAATTCACCAACGCAGCAGCTCCGCCCAAAGCAGTGGCACCTGCACTCTGCTGGGAAGATTGCGCCCTAGGCCCCACCAAATCGCCAAACGACTGTCCAATGCAGTTGCGTATCATCAACAGAGCTTCAATGAGCGTCTGGCCGTTCAAAGAAATGGCAGGTTCTTAAGAACAAACGAGGCCAGCAGGAAACATTCATCAGGCACCTGTGATAGAGCGCGAAAAAACGCGCTTCGCCACAAATGCCATGGCCTGATGATGGATTGTGGCGAACAGTCGCTGGACATTCTGAAATTTGTCTCAAGCACGCCATGCCCATGTGCAGGTGCTACAGCTACTGTTGAATGTACTCCGAGATGGCCTTTAGGGGTCGTTTTAACTACTCTTCCCGCACTTTGGAACACGCTTCTTGGGGAACTCTCAAATACATGCTCAAGTTAACGCGTCGAGAGTTTGGAATGCAGAAGGGTCACTTTTAGAGATTTCTCCTGCTTATTGGGAACACTCACACAACGTTTAGGCTTGGTGGATGGTCTTGGAACTGCTTTTTGCACACAAACAAGACCCCTGGTGTCAGCTTTCAATTACTTGAGAAGAAGCTATGCTCTCCCGTCCATCAGTGTATCTGTATGTGTGATACCAGTACTTTTTGAGTCAACACGAGCCACCATGAATTTGACCTCGCACCCAACATGACCCAATGCAAGATTACCCTCTGGAAAATAACCGTGGCAATAGAAGCCCATCATTGGTACGAATTTTTCCCATCAAAACTGAGGATTTCGAATCGTTGGGTTAGTTTGCCAGAGGAAACCAAAGACTGCTCCTAAATGTGTTGTTGCTCAATTCATGCCGCTCAGTCAACCTACGGAAGCACTTAGGAATTTGGAAATGTGTAAAAAAAGAATGCCTTCAAGATCCTCCAAGATTCTTACATGAAAGAAAGGCTTCTGTGAAAAGTCATGTTCGGTAGCATCATCCATAGCATCAGCATGCTCATTACCATCCCAAAATCGGCCTCGCAGCTATTGTCCCACCGTCGGGGTCACTTGAGCCACACAAGCCTTAACGATTCACCGTGGCAAAAAAATGGTGGGTGGCAGAATTGTGGTGACCGAACTGTCAAAGATGTCAGGATTCTTAAGGTCACCGTGAGTTTGTGGCCGCAACTCAATCTCTTACATTCTGGCGCAGAAATCATAGAAATTGGCCATCCTATGATGGCTACAGTCTGAACATGGACATGAGGTAATGCCACAAGATGGGCTTCAGATGGCTTCAATTCTTTGAGAAATTCGGCCTTCTGCAGAATTTGTCAGCACAGTACAAGTAGCTTTGGTTGAATATGAAATGCTGCAAGTAGTGGATTGCGCTTTTTTATGTGACCGTTTGACAAGCGAGTCAACGGCTTTGTACTGGATGGTAGATTCTTTGACCTGCTGAGCGGTCACTTTGAGGTTTCCGGTACATAAAAATGCTTACAGTAAGCCACAATAGATGCTGATCCTGTCAGGGACAATATAAAACAACAATAAGACAATCAAAACAATAGTAACAACGACAATAATAATAACAATAATAATAATAATAGTAGTAGCACTATGTAGCACTATATACTATCAATAACAATGATGATAATAACAATGAAAATGCACAGGTGCAACCTGTTGCAGATGCAAGGCGCCCTTTTGCCTTTGACGGCGGAACCAAAATGGCTTAGGCCTGCGGTCACACATTGAAAGTGTCCTGTACATGCAAGCAGGTGAAATGACATGCCAAGGGTTCTGATGCAATGCTCAATCTTTCTCAGCTGGTATATTTTCTTGTTGCTGAAGAACCCAGGGCATGAACACTGTAATCAGTGTGTTGGCAACGCTTCCTAGTGCCTCATGTCGATTGGGCAAACCAACATAGGCCTTCCGATCTTCCAACTGTCGCCATTCTGCGTGGCCGTTGGGATCAACGAATTTGCCAAAAGTACTTCTGTGCGGGTACTTTGAGGCTTCAAATCTCGGCTCTGGAGTTCTATACGAACGTGCATTCTTTGCCACGTGCACTTTGTAGGCACCTTTGTTGTGCCAACCTACCAATTCGCTAAGGCCCAGCAAATGGCCAAACATTGGGTTGCTTGCATCTACGGCTCGGCCTAAGACTAAGCTATCTAAGCTACTGGCTGTCTTAGTCGGTTTCTTGACTGTCTGCTTTACAAAGCCAGGGGAAAATGTTACACACCACTCATTGGATTGCAAAATCCGGGCCATGTGATCCAGTTTCATCAGCTTCGTGCCTCCATCCACGAACATGTTGTCGGTGGCGGTCCACTTCATCATGGTGGAGTCTCGGCGTAGCATGCTGCGGATCCAAGCTATGGTGAATGCAAGGCTTTTCTGACTTCCATACGTCGGAGTGTCACTGTTGCACTTGTCATAGTTGTCTTTTGCATCGGTCACCATCTGCAAAGGGATCAAGTCCATGCTCTGCTCGGCAAACGGCTTTTCCATGGGGTAGCCCAACATCTCAGCAAAGGCTCCTCTGCAGAAATGTCCGGCATCCAAACCTTCCTCAGACGCAAGGAGTTCTGCGCCGAAGGTTGATCTGCAGACTCTTCCAAGTCTGTGGCTTCTGGCGTCGATCAGGTTGAATCGACCAGGCTTTCCTTCCATCAACTGTTCATCAGCCAGCAAAATGACGTAGGTCGCCTGGCTGAAAACTCTTTCCACCAACTCTCCTTCACTGCTTCCAGCCTTCGTCACATTCCCCAGAGAGGCGTCGGTCACAACCATCAGCCCACACCGTGCAAGGTCTTGAGGAACGTAGCGGAGCGCGAAATCAGATTGCAGTTTTGCTTGGCGAACAAGCGAGTTTGCTTTGAGTAACGTCCCCACAACTTGTTTATCCCCTTGTAAGGTGGACAACTGAAAACCTAAATCAGCCCTAAGTTGGGAAACCAACCATTGCAAACTTCCTAACAAAGCTCTGAGTTTCTTCTGCTCATCTGGAGTCAGCGGAGCATCAGGAGTGCGGCGCCGGTGCATAGGAACAACTGCAGGCGCCAGGTTCTCATGGTACTCCTTCATGTCAATGGAGATGGAGTGGTCAGCATGTTGTGTGATGCGCTTGCCGCAGTACACAAAGGATCCACGTTCCAACGAACCAAATCCCAGTTCTCTGCCGAGTGCTTCCAAAGAAGCAATCGCCACCGGGCTTCCACCCATCAGCAAATCATCCACATGGCTCACCACGATGCCTTCCATAGTTTTACCATCATCACTCCAAAGAAACCACATCGCAGCATCCAGTGAAGATCTCTGCCAACCCAACTTCGTCAAGGATTTGTGAAGACGAAGGTACCATCGCCTTGGGCTATCGCTCAACCCAAAAATCCCTTTTTTTTCAGTCTTGCAAGTTGGCCTTCACCAAGAGGTAGAAGCGGCTCATCGCCATCTTTGACTTTGATCTGGCCCAGGTAAAGTTCTCTCTCACCTGGGGCAAACTCTTCTCCTTTCAAGAAAGCTGACTTCACGTCAGCGCTCAGCAAAATCCATCTCCGGGAACTTGTGAAAACTAACAGCAAGTGGAAACTCACCCTTGAACACGTCGGGGCGTCTTTTCGCAAAACATGAGCTGTCAGGTCACGGTATCCGGGAACCACTAATCTTGCAGAGGCTTTCAATCCAAGGTTATTGGTTGAGGTGCGAAGTCCGTCGTGCTTGTCTGTGAAGACGAACCTCGGTGTCAGGATCTTGTGGCCTTCGCCACGGAGTTTCAGTCGCTGGCGAATCTCTCGGGCTTCTTTTGGCGAAAGAACTTCGACAGCTGAATTGTCAACCCAAACTCGCCAGCCATCAGCAGCTGCAAGGCGGAAACTTTCCTTGTAGCTTTCATTCATCTCAGGCCATTTGTATTCTTTTCTCGCGGTCTGCACCGCATTCACTTCAGCACTTCCAGAAGGCCAGGGAATACCATAGTGCTCATGAGCCATCCATTCAGATCTGCTTGGCGGCGGCCAACGACCATCCCAAGAACCATGATCATCGGGGGCATGCTCCAACGGCTGCTTCTTGTCCTCCTCGGCCAATCGCACGATCTGCTTGAGCGGGTGCTCATAGTCATTCAGGCTGTCTGAAACTGTGGAAACCTTCAAGGTTTCATGGGATTCTCCAGGTGCTTCAGGAGGCGGGTTGCCTTCAGCATCTTGAAGGCGTTCAACTGGAACATCAGAGGCGCGCTTGCGACTCTCATCCACAACTTCAGCTTCACTAGGAGCTTGGCTTGCAGCAGCTTCAGGTCTGCTGCGGGGCAACTGAGATCTCGGCGTTCTCGGCGTTCTGGAACCACTGCGTGCAACTTGAGGCCTGGAAAGTCCAACGGAAGGTTGCACTGGAAGTCCAGGAATGCTGCTCAACAAACTGCTACGTCTCGAGGGGGGCGCGCTGGCAACAGGTTGAGACAAGGCCGGTGCAACTGCAGCAACAAGTTCTTGAGGTTGGAGAGCAACAGAAGCAGGTGCGTGTTCTTCGGCAGGTTGATTGGCAGCACCTTGGTCAGCATAGGCTTCTCCACCTTCAACAGGAGGCTCAACCACTAGAGGGCCTTGAACTCCACCGTCTCGGTCATTCATTGCAGCTTCCACAACATCTTGTATCGCAGACTCCCACTCTTCCATGGTGATTTGCTCCATAGTGGAGGCTTTGCGAACATGCTCAATTGCAGCTTTGACAAGTTGACCCTTGTGGGAAATGAAACAGTTGCTGTGTCCTTCCATGGCCACTAAAAGTCCAGGACCATGCCAACGCTTCAGGCTGAGCTTGCGCTTCGAAGGACCTGTCTTGCTGTTGTATTTGCTCATGCGGTAGTAGTAAACTATCATACCAGGCTGCAAGGCTTGGGCATCGGTCACAGTTGGAGTGCGTGACCTGGCCATTTCAGCTCTTCTCAAACCTCTTGAAAAATGCAACCTCAGCATGGCAAGCTTGGCAACTTCACGCATTGCAACTTGTCTGGCAAATGAGGGTCGGCATTCGACCAAACCATGCTCGGACAACCGCTGTCCAAAATCACCCAAAACATCACCAATCATCCTGGGCTGACGGCCCAATGCAGCCTGCGCCGGTGTGACACCAGCTTCATTGATGTCGCTGTTGTAGGCCATGACTGCTTCTTGAACGGCTAGGTCGACATCGTCAGCTCCAAGCAAGGATTGGCTTTTGATGACTGCTGTTGCGATGGCTTTCAAAATTCCACCACCTTTCTCACAGACACCATTCTGCCAGGGGGCTTGCACTGCCGTATGCCACAGCAAAATTGAGTGCTGTGCAGCCATTTCTTCAAACTTCCAAGAAATGAATTCACGTCCCTGATCCGCCACCAAAACTCTCGGAGGGCCGAAGATTGGCATCCATCGGCGAACCATGAAGTTCACCACAGCGTCAGCAGATTTGTCCTTGAGCACTTCAGCCATTTGAAATTTGCTGACACTGTCGATCGCATGGGCAACATAAAAACGGTTCTCAGCCAAATCATGCAACTCAAAGAGATCGATGTGAACTTGGTCTCCAGCATCTTTTGGCGTAGGCAAGGTGGCAGGACGTCGGGCACGTGGAGGACGTCTCTCTTGGCATATGGAGCATTGAAGCGTTTTGGCGGCTGCTATCGCCTCAGGTGGCGCACCCGCAATGGCGAGTGAACGAGCCAATCGCCTATTGGAGCGATGGCCAGTGTTGCAGTGAAGCTTCTTCACGGCTTCTTTGACCGCCGCTGAAACTTTCATGTTTGCTGGTAGAACTTGAGCTTCATCGTCACTTTCATCGATGTCTCTAAATTCCATTGGGGGATCGACTTCGCGATCCAAAGCTTCTTCAAGGTCTCCATCAGTTTCAGCTCCATCAACTGCCAAGATCTCATGGATGAAGCCACATCCATAGGTCTTTTCAAACTCTTCCTCCAAGCCCTTGATGATCTCACGTGCCAGCTCTTTGGTGTAAAGTCCTGCAGCAGCGGTGACACGTGATCCTCCCATCACATGTTCATGCTCATGGTCTTTGTTGCATCGTTTGCCATCCAAGCGATCAGCTATCTTCTCTGAGCTGGTGACAACCTTCGTGGGCTTCTTGTGCAAAAGTCCAGATGGCCCACGCAGCTTGAAACGGCACTGATCGAAAACTGCTTGGTGGCATTCAAGTCGCCGAAGAAAACGCTTCAGCTCTGCCAGGCTCCATGACTCCGCTGTCAATGGGTTTTCCAAAAGAAAATGCCTGCCATGTCGAAGCTGCAGCTCGGCTAACTCGATTGCAAACTTGATGAGAACACGTCCTTCAGCACGCCGTAGGGCAAGGTCTTTGGACGGATTCAATCTCATCAAAGCAGACCAAGGTCCACAGGGAAATGCTAAAGCCAGCAAATAAGGCTTTTCCTTCATGACCACCTCCTTCGCAGCTTTGCGGTCAGCTGCTTTCAGAAAATTCCAACCAGTCTCAAGTGACATGGCAGAGCCAACTGAATGGCCTTTGTTGGCGGCTTCCTTGATGATTCTCTGAACTGTCGTGAAAACCTCAGAGACAAAGACGCCGTCAGGCTCAGGGGGTGGCCGAAGTCCAGGGGCCAGGACAAGTGAGGAGACAAAACATTCATTGAGGCATGATTCCATCTCACCCATCCATTCAGCTTGCATCACCGCATGAACATCACCCTTGGAAATCAGCTCCTGGTCACGTTTGTGCTTTTGCCAGGCTTGGGCAATCTGCTGTGCTTGACCGGTTTTGATGCGGTCAGCATCAAGTCGCCACTCCGAGGTGCTGGGTTCATCGGGCATTCGAAGTCCATCGGCCCGAGCCTCAGAAAGTCCAAGAGGCTTTGATTCCTGGGGTATTCGAAATCCATCGACCCCGGCCCCAGAAAGTCCAAGTCGAAGGGGCCTTGACACTGGAGCAGTGT